ATTGTTTCATTTGTCGAGGAAATGAAGTTGAGTGTGTTTATGTGTTTTGAGGGCGAGTGTGATTTAAATAACTTAGTCCTAGTCTTGTCGATTTTTTTCGACTTGAAAGGTTTCTGCAAAGGTATTCTTGGCTTTTTCACCGCTCGGTAAGTTTGTTCCGATACTAATTTCTCAATATGTTGTCTTGGCATGTTTTCGTTTCAAAACTAGCCTTATTTTGATAGATCTAGTTTTTTTTCGACCTTTTCGGTTTTTTTCCGACTTAGCGGCTTCTGTTTTGCATCGCAAGTTGTGCGATGCTCATCTTCGCCTCTGTATACTGTTTTTAACTAATGGTTGAGTTAGTTGTTAGGTTGCTAAAGTACTGGAGTTTAAACGTTATATCTATGGTATACAAATTTTTCCATCTGCGAGATCAGAAGAATAGCACCTACACCTCACATAAGCCTCAATTTTATGATGTAACTAGTGATTGTACAAGCTAATATAAGACAACATATATTTTAATTGCCTTTTTAATCAGGATGCTATTTTTCATAACAATCGGACAATCTAAACAAAAGTTATCCTAGTAGTAAGTTTTGCAAGTGGGAGCTGTTTTTTTTTGTAATTTTGATCAATTACAAGCGTGACAATGTGCCATTAGCTGTCAAGTGATTTGTCTTTTCTGATGTAACGTAGTTCAAAAAAAGTAACTTGGGCATCAAAACAAAAATGCAAAAGTTTTTTTTGCAATCAAATGTTTGAAATTTCTGTAAAAATAGATGATAGTGTGGTTGAAAACTTTTTAGTAGCTTCTGAAAAGGTGCAGTAGGGTTGTAGTTTGTCATCATTGCAAGTTTGAAATTTGTGTAATTTGAACTTATTCTAGCCGACAGTGAAAGCGCATCATAATGAATCCAGCTCATAATTTTTTCTCATACAGTAAAATTTCACTCATATACGCCTTTGCAATTAATTCCGTTTACTCAATCAATTCTTTTATAAGACTGAATTGAAATCTGTCTGATATTAAACAAAAAGTAAAATTTTTTTGATCATTGGAGGAAAGGTATGCAGATGGATCATCATTCAAATTTATTCAGACTCACAAGGAATAGGTAATTCTTTTAATTTTTTACCAATTTCACGCTGTTTCCGCTCAAAAAATACCTCTAGCTATTAATCTCAAGGCAGTTAATTCAAAATCTAGTGTCAACCATCAAAGAAATTATAATTATTTTTGAACGAACGGCTTCTAGAATAAATCTTTTCGCCTTTTTCCACATCATTTTTTTACCCTTGCGATAATCAAGGGTATTGTAATCGGGTACTAGACTTTTTCGACTCCTGGTGCTACCTTCATTCACAACAATTTCAATTTTCGTACTGTCTCCTGTACACTTAGCCTGGAGGTAACAAATACGCCTGCGAAGGCAAATTCAAACGTCCTGGGTTTGAATTTGACCATGATCGGTTTTTTTAAACGTTAAAAAATCCGATTCAAAAAAATTTCGGCCTTTTATTTGTCTGCTTATGTTTTGTCGGCTTAGTTAACAGATCTAAGAATTGTATATATTTGTTGCAATCAAATTTCACTGTAGTTGCTTAAGTTGTCTTAGCATTTTAAAAATCCGGTCGAATCGAATTTTTTTCGTTACATTCGTTGTAATTTTACCAGCTATATTTGTTTAAATTTCATATTTTTTCTTCATTTTTTGTCTTTTGTATCGGTTTAATATATATCGAGCTAGTGACCTCTTTTTGCGTTGTTTGGGGATTGAAAAACGTTTTTGTGTATGTGCGTGTGTTTTGAGGGGGAAAGGGCATACAATTTTAAAAAATAATTTTAGATGTTTTTGAATATTTTCGGCGTAAACATTTTGCTGGACCCTAGGTATCCTTCATTTTTGTTTACCTAGTTTTGTTCAACATTTTTCATTTTCTTTGGACTTCTGTTTTTTTTATGATTGCGTTGTATCGCAAGTGGTGCGAAGCTCCGCTTCTCCTCTGTGTTTATATCTACTTACTGGCCCCTTATTGCATCGTTTGATGACCGAGAAAGGGGGACTCAAATTTTTGATAAGAAATTTTTTGTTTTTTTTTCCGGCATGAAGGTCTTCTATTGAGGTTTCTTCTGTGTTGTTACCGCTTCGTAAGTTTCGTTCCGATGCTAATTTTGCGTTCTTTTGTCTTGGCATTTTTTTTCAAACTATCTTTATTCATTTTGATAGATTGGTTGTATGTATAGTTATAAAACATCGATATTATTTTTTTGCGGATGATTTTTTTGGCTTTCGATTTAGGGTAGTATATGCATATTCTCCAATAAGATTTTGCCGAACAATTTTGATTGATTTTCAGCTAAATGGCTGTCGGCTTATCTACCTAATATTGTTTCCTACAAATTTCTGATATTATTTTTGAGATATTTATGACTTTGGCCCTAAATTTAATTGTTCGAATGCTCAAACTCAACCCTACTTGGAATTCTTCAAAAATTTTAAAGAAAACTTGAACATAAAAAAAATGATTTTCATTTTTTGTTTTTCTTGTTGTTTCTTCTAGGGTTACAGCTCTCGAAGTCCTCTTTGATACTTCTTGAGCGTCTGATACTTCTTGAGTGTCAAAAAGAAACATAGGTATTAAAACAAAAATGCAGAAGTGTTTTTTGCAATCAAATGTTTGAATCTTCTGTAAAAATAGATAGCGAGGTTGAAAACTTTTTAGTAGCTTCTGAAAAGGTGCAGTTGGGTTGTAGTTTACCATCATTGCAAGTTTGAAAGTTGTGCAATTTGAATACAATAGATAGACAATCCTTCAAATTTTTTCAGACTCATGAGTTTAGAAAGAAAAATTATACGGGCTGAAACAAGGAATAGTTAATTCTATTAATTTTCGACCAATTTTACGCTGTTTCCGCTCAAAATCACCTCTAGCTATTAATCTCATATCAATTAGTTCAAAATCTAGTGTTAGCCATCAGAGGAATTATAGTTATTTTTTCAACGAACGGCTTCTAGAACAAATCACTTCGCCTTTTTCCACATCATTTTACCCTTGCGATAATCAAGGGTTTTGCAAACGGGTACTAGACTTTTTTCGTTTCCTGGTGCGACCTTCATAACAATTTCAATTTTTGTACTGTCTCTTGTACACTTAGCCTGGTGGTAACGAATACGCCTGTGAAGGCAAATTCAAACGTACTGGGTTTGAATTTGACCTTGATCGGTTTTTTTAATCGGTAAAAATTCAATTCAAAAAAATTTCGTCCTATTATTTGTCTGCTTATGTTTTTTCGGCTTAGTTACCAGATCTGAGAATTGTGTATATTTGGGGCAATCAAAGTTCAATGTAGTTGCTTAATTTGTTTTAGCATTTTAAAAATCCGGTCGAATCGAAATTTTTTCTTCACATTGGTTGTAATTTTAACAGCTATATTTGTTTAAATTTCACATTTTTTCTTCATTTTTTTGTTTTGTATCGGCTTAATATATATCGAGCTAGTGACCTCTTTTTGCTTTGTTCAGGGATTGAAAAACGTTTTCGTGTGATATTCATTTTTTGTTCTTCTTGTTGTTTCTTCTAGGGTTACAGCTCTCGAAGTCCTCTTTGATACTTCTTGAGCGTCTGATACTTCTTGAGTGTCAAAAAGAAACATAGGTATTAAAACAAAAATGCAGAAGTGTTTTTTGCAATCAAATGTTTGAATCTTCTGTAAAAATAGATAGTGAGGTTGAAAACTTTTTAGTAGCTTCTGAAAAGGTGCAGTAGGGTTGTAGTTTACCATCATTGCAAGTTTGAAAGTTGTGCAATTTGAATACAATAGATAGACAATCACTCAAATTTTTTCAGACTCATGAGTTTAGAAAGAAAAATTACACGGGCTGAAACAAGGAATAGTTAATTCTATTAATTTTCGACCAATTTCACGCTGTTTCCGCTCAAAATCACCTCTAGCTATTAATCTCATATCAATTAGTTCAAAATCTAGTGTTAGCCATCAGAGGAATTATAGTTATTTTTTCAACGAACGGCTTCTAGAACAAATCACTTCGCCTTTTTCCACATCATTTTACCCTTGCGATAATCAAGGGTATTGCAAACGGGTACTAGACTTTTTTCGTTTCCTGGTGCGACCTTCATAACAATTTCAATTTTTGTACTGTCTCTTGTACACTTATCCTGGAGGTAACTAATACACCTGTGAAGGCAAATTCAAACGTACTGGGTTTGACTTTGACCTTGATCGGTTTTTTTTAATCGGTAAAAATTCAATTCAAAAAAATTTCATCCTTTTATTTGTCTGCTTATGTTTTTCCGGCTTAGTTACCAGATCTAAGAATTGTGTATATTTGGTGCAATCAAAGTTCAATGTAGTTGCTTAAGTTGTTTTAGCATTTTAAAAATCCGGTCGAATCGAAATTTTTTCTTCACATTGGTTGTAATTTTACCAGCTATATTTGTTTAAATTTCATATTTTTTCTTCATTTTTTTTGTTTTGTATCGGCTTAATATATATCGAGCTAGTGACCTCTTTTTGCTTTGTTCGGGGATTGAAAAACGTTTTCGTGTGATATTCATTTTTTGTTTTTCTTGTTTTTTCTAGGGTTACAGCTTTCGAAGTCCTCTTTGATACTTCTTGAGTGTCTTGCTGTTTGAATCCAATACTTGTTGTATCGCAAGAGGTGCGAAGCACAGCTTCGCCTCTGTGTTGAATTTTCACATCGTTCGACGGCTTGAAATCTATTTTCTACGTGTGAGCAGCTCAGTGCCATTTTTCTGCAATACAACTGTTGTGTTGCTTTAATTTGGGAACTTTAATTTGTTTAACTAAAGCTTTATATTCTATTAACATTGTCGGCGTAAAAGTTGAAAAAGCTCCGGTAGATCTGAAAAAGGGAAAGCAGTTATTGAAATTTTGTTTTATCAGATTCGTGATTCTTGCTAAACGAAAGCAAGCGTAATGCATTGTCTTCGATTGCATTGATGCTTTATTTTTAAAATTTCTATTTTAGATAGTTTTGTGAATGTAAACCATGGCTTGGGGAGGTTCTACCGATTCCTCTTACACTAATCAGGTTAAAGCATCCAAAAACGAGCCAAACGATGGACAGGCTAAAATAGATCGATTACTTTCATCGAACTTGCCCTACGCAGAAGTGCTCGAAAGGATCATTCAAATTGAATCAAGTGGAAATAGTTCAAATGGGGATTTTGAAAATAGTTCAGAACTTGATAGAGAGGCGCTATTAAATAGTGGATTGAAATCCAGAGCAGAGCTTTATGAATTTAAGCGGCAACAGCTAGAATCATTTCAAAGTGATTCGTGGAGCTGGGATCTGTTGAATCAATTTCTGAAAGATCAGGCCAAGAAATCAAAGCTCTCTGAGCTGGAGTTGACGATGAAGAAGTTCTTGGATACTTCCAAAGAACTTCAAGGGAAAGAAGTTGACACGAAACAGATTCAAGCAGGAGTTGTATATCTAATTAAAGTTCTAAGAGGGACTAAATACATTTCAAATGAGCAAAGACATCAGCTAAAGCTTTATTTTGGCGAGTATAATGAAACTCCGATGAATCGAGCGGTAAATTTAGTCGAGGCTCTTGAGAAGCTTTCAAAAATTGAACTCATTCAATGGAACCTTTTGGACAGTCCACCGAAAAGCGAAGACTTGATGGATAAACCGTTCGGTTCTGGAATAACTTTGATGCCTTTTACTGGAAACTTGCCGCACGTGAGATGTTTTCTCGATGAAGAAGGTTGCAGCCAATCAAATGGCACTATTTCAAATGGAGACGTGGTCCACTCTTTTGATTGGTTAATTGATCAGTTGAAGCCGAAATACAGTGTGAAAGAGCAGACGATAGGGCTAGGGGTCCACGAGATGGCGAGTGCAGTGATGGAACTGCTGAAGAATAAGTTGAAGTCCAATGAAGATTTGCAGTCGGATTTGTTGGAGTTGCTAGGATTTGATTTGTGAGTGCAAACATGAGGGTCGTGGAGCTGACTTTAAGTGCATTTTACAAAAAAAATCCTGTTTTTCTATGCTTTTGCAAACTGAGAATGTTTTGAATGAGCGGAAAACTGTAAACAAAATAGATAGCATACCAACACTCATAAAAATGCAATTTTAAACCATTAAAATATACAAGTGATTGTTTGTGTAGATTTGCGAGAGCAAGTGTCTCGTAATCGGGAACTAAATTTATCTCCGTAAACAACTTGACATTGATATTGCTGTATTAATGCACCTTAGCAAGTTCCAGGCGCCTTTCCACTTAAGGGAAAGGGCCTGGATGCAATGCGGGTGCCTTCGTACCCTATGTTTTTTTTCGGTATCTGAAGTTGATTTTTTTTACTTGAAAAAAAGAATATTCTGACTATTATTTGTCGGCTTATGTTTTGTCGGCTTATTTGCCACAGCATGGATTGTTTTTCGCACTGTAAGCAGTTTACATTGTAGTAGTTTCAAGTGTCATTAATAAGCTACTGTAGTTTGTAAATGTACTAACCCTGTCTGTTATATTTCAAGTTTTTTGTTGTTGTATTTTTCGCCCTAAAAATATTCGGCTGATTTTTTCTCGGTTTAGTGAAACTATTTTGCCTTGACTTAACGAGGAAAAATGATTAGGTTTAACTATAATAAATCAGGCCTGCTGAAGTATAAAAGTTGAAAATTCAATCAATTTAATCGCTTAAAATTTTTTATGACAATTTCCCTTGGCATTTTTTGTCTTCGGATTAATGGGCGTCTAATCTCGTTTTGTCGATTTAGTGAATGCTCGAAAAATAGTAAAAGCTTATTGTGTTTCTCGTCTGTTTTTCTGAAATTGAATTTATCTTTTTCCAAAAAAAATGTTTACAAATTAGAGGAGTGTTCATTTTTTCAATTTTTTTTCAACTTAGTTATTTTCATTTTCAGTTACTTTCTGCTTGGTAGCTTGTTAATGCTACGTTTTTTGCTGTATCGCAAGTGATGCGAAGCTCTGCTTCGACTCTGTGTAAATTGAAGTTCTTACCTTGTTTCTTGACACTGTGTTGATTTCAGCATTGAGTTAGTGATTGAAATCTTGGCGCATCGTGACGCCATAGTGTTGAGTGAAGACACCGTCTCAAAGCAGAGAAAGGACATTGCGAATCGAGAGCAGCAGACTAGTAACAGCAGTGGCATCAATACCAGAAACACAATCAATCCACAGGTGAGAAACGCCATTTATTCTTGAAGTGGGCCACCCAACAGTTTTATCAGCACTGTTAAAACCAGGGGCGGATCTACGATTTTTTTTCGAGCGGAGGCGGAGGATTTTCAAAGAAAATTCGAACATTTAGTTGACCTTTTTTCTAGGTCGATCAAATCGATTTTCGGAGCTCTTCAAAAAAGTCCGTTTTGGCCAAAGTTTCTGCGCAGTAGGCCAAATTTTGAAAGAGCAGGCCGAATAAAGGGTTTTTTGACACTTTTTTTTCGAAAATGTTGACCAAGAAATTGCGTTATTGTTATTATTTACGCGCGCTCCCCTCTTAAAATTAGTATATATTGGTGCCGAAGGCAAGGCCCCTTAAGAAAAAATTTTGGGTCCGCCTCGGATCCTTGAGGGGGGGGGGGGTCCGCTCTCTCTTAAATCCGCCCCTGGTTAAAACGAATTTAAACACTGCATTTAGCTGACTAGCTGACGCATTTAGAAATCCGAATTCTCATCAATGCCTAAAAACTAACTGGAATTTTCTGATTGTTAGGTGAATTTTTAATTAAGAAGAGCTTTCAGAATAACTTCTTGCTTCTGAGACTACATTATGGTGACGTTCTATGAGCGTTCAACAGCCACGTTCAAAGAGTATTAAAAGAGTTTTGGTCGGAAAAATTGCAAGGTGATTATATTTTATGTGAACTTGAGAAAAACAAAAAATCAAAAATTTATTAGCTATTACTTAACAGTAAATAATATGAGTGTTTACACAAATAAAGCGTAGTTTAATTCTACGAAGCAATTTTTATTCTAACCTAAGTCTTAAATAAAAGTGCATTTTGAAATTTATATCAGGCTGTAGTGGAATCGGATCGACTACGTATGGTGTGAGATGTTTTTAAGAGTACTGCGCATAGTGAGTCTTATATAGGCCTTGGTGATTTTTCCCCAGAATTCGAGCTCAGTTATGATTTTTTTTGCGATTTGGTTTTTGATTTCTTATGTTCAATTCATTTCTTTAATTAACTATCAAACAGCAACAATAGCGTCTATCGAACAGCAACGTGATCGACGTCCTATTTCGAAAATGGAATTTAGTTATCAGATTTCCCAGCGAAACAAAAATTATGCGTATTGATTCAGTTTTCTGACTTGGGGTTATTTTTTTATCAAAAAGCACCAATCATAAATTTTTCTTGGAATTTCAAAGTTTTTAAGAGAATAGGTTTTTTTTCAAAACCTTGGTAAGTTTATTGTAATACGGATTAAAAAAAAACAGAATTGGTATTAGAAAATTCGTATGTGAGATGTTAGGTGTATCCCAATTTTTTCAGCTAGCTTCCGTGTTTTATCACAAACGACGTGACGCTTTTGCTCTTTGCAGGTGTTGAAGAAATTCCTGCCAAAGTTGCCGCAGACTAACGCGAGTGGGTGCCAGATTGTGGTGCAGAGTGGGGAGGAGAAGGAGATGCGGAAACTAGTGAGGAAGGAGGAGAAGAGGTACAGGAAGCTACAGATGCAGGCACACCAGCACAACAAAGACAATGGTAGCGCACACATTTACATGTACTGCGTAATTTAATCTAATTTAGAGCAGAGTTTTTTTAATTGTTTCATGGGTGTTAAACCGAATTGAAGTCAGCAAAAGCTTTTTATAAACAATAGAAGCTTGTAATTGGGTGTCACGTCCCGGGGCTACATGGCTATATGAAATCAATGAAAAGTTGGCCTGTTTTAATTGCAGATTTTGAACATGCATTACGTTTTGAATCCCTCAAAGGCTAAGGCATAAGACGTAGGCTAAGGCTTGCTAAGAGCTCAAAAATGAGTTATTGAAAATAGTAATTTCTAAGATCTAATTAGACATAGTTTTAGCCGATGACCAAGGCATCTCCAGATCTTTCGCTCAAGCTCAAATGCAACTTGCAGCTGCTCAAAACGAGCCCGTCATTCGGTATCAGGCAGCTGAAACGCCGAAATATCCACACGTGTATGATATGAAACTAGAAATATCTCAAAAAGCGACCAACGCTGGAGGTTTCAAGATCATGCTGCCTGCAGACACCAAGTACTTTTCAGATGAAATCAAAGAAGAAGTTAGTATTCCAGCGAGTAAACAACCTCCAACTGACGTCGGCAAAGACCGAATTCAAGTCACAAGTCTCCCGAAGTATGCGCAAGCGGCGTTCCAAGGCTTCAAACAGTTGAATCTAATTCAAAGCGTAGTATACCCAGCAGCTTTGCTATCAAGTGAGAATCTTCTGATCAGTGCGCCGACAGGGGCAGGTAAAACGAACATAGCTTTGCTGACTATTTTACACGAAGTTGGAATGCACGTAAAAGGCGATGTAGTCGAGAAAAAGGACTTTAAGATCGTCTATGTTGCTCCGATGAAAGCACTGGCGGCTGAAATGACAGATAACTTTGGCAAAAGATTGGGACCTTTGGGTCTTTCTGTTAAGGAACTAACAGGCGATATGCAGTTAAGCAAGACAGAGATCATGAAAACCCAAATGCTAGTGACCACACCTGAAAAATGGGATGTTGTAACTCGTAAAAGCAGTGGCGATGCCGGTTTGGTTCAAAGTGTGAAACTTTTGATCATTGACGAGGTTCATTTGCTTCATGAAGATCGAGGATCGGTAATCGAAACTTTGGTTGCGAGAACACTGCGTCAGATTGAAAGCACGCAGTCTAGAATTCGTCTAGTTGCTCTTTCGGCTACGTTGCCTAATTATTTAGACGTTGCGCGGTTCCTAAGAGTGAATCCTTACAAAGGCTTGTTCTATTTTGACAGCCGCTTTAGACCAGTTCCTTTGAGCCAGAATTTTGTGGGGATTAAATCGACAAATATTATCAAGCAGATGATGGATTTGGATGATGTTTGCTATGATAAATTAAAGCAAGTTGTTCAACGCGGGTATCAGTGTATGGTTTTTGTTCACTCTCGATCTGGAACTGTGAAAACAGCCCAAGCTTTAAAGGAACGAGCCATGTCGAAAAACGAACAGGAAACATTCATGGCCGAAACCTGGAAGAAGGAATATCTAGACGCCAAACGAGACGTAGATAAGTCGAGAAATAAGGAATTGCGCGAACTTTTTCCGCATGGTTTTTCGATTCATCATGCAGGAATGCTGAGACAGGATAGGAATATCGTCGAGAAGAATTTCGCAAAAGGCAACATCAGAGTACTAGTATGTACTGCAACTTTAGCATGGGGCGTCAATTTACCCGCGCACGCTGTTGTGATTAAGGGAACTCAGTATTATGATGCACAGAAAAGTTCCTTTGTTGATATCGGGATTCTAGACGTTCTGCAGATTTTTGGACGAGCAGGCAGGCCTCAGTACGACACGTACGGTGAAGCGTACATTTTGACAGCTTACAATAAACTGAGTCATTATTTAAATCTGTTAACCAGGCAAACACCAATTGAATCTCAATACGTTGAAAGTTTAATTGACCATTTGAATGCTGAAATTGTTTTGGGCACTGTGAACACGATTGACGACGCAGTTCAGTGGTTGAGTTACACCTACCTTTTCGTACGAATGAAACAGAATCCTCTAGTTTATGCGGTTGATTACAATGATTTCATACACGACCCAGACTTGTTGAATCATCGGAGACAGATAATCGAAGACGCTGCGAAAAGATTGGACGATGCCAAAATGATTCGTTATGTGAAAACAGGCGGAAATAGTTACTTGTATCCGACTGATTTGGGAAGAACGGCGTCCCACTTCTACATTAACTTCCACACGATAGAGTGTATAAATGATAATCTGAATGGGAATATCTTTGAGACGGAGATTCTGAAGTTGATCTCGATGGCCAATGAGTTTGTGCAGGTGAAGGTGAGAGACGAGGAGCTGGATGAGTTGTCGGATCTGATGCAGGAGTGCTGGTATGATTGTGCAGGTATGACATGTAAATTTTATGCGGTATAGATTATGCCGCTCTATTACTGAAGCACCAATATATTAGAGAAAGGATGCGCGTAATTTTATTGATTAGTTTTCGATAAATTCGTGAACAAGGAACCAATACTCTTTATTTTCGTTAACTGTAAAAGAGCCAAGTGATGTTCACTTATATAGGTCTTTTTGGTTTTTGTCAAGAAGTGTTAAAATTCAAAATGCACTAATATCTACAGAAGTGCATTCATGTATATTTAAGGCATTTATGAATGAAGTTCGGTATATTTGCACTTTTTTCGAGTTCAATTCAAACTATCCATTTGGTAAATTGCACTCTCTAATTCTGAAAAAGCTGAAATGGTGCGAAAAAGTGAGCGACTTCTAGTTTCGAGAGTGGTTTTTAATTTAAAGATTTCCTAGCGGAATAAAAAATTTATCCATTGATCCACTTCGCTTAAATTTGATTAATTTTATTTAAAAAGTTCAATCATAAATTGTTCTTGAAATTAGAAGAGCCTTAACTTGGTATAACTTTTTCTTCGAGAATTGAAAAATGATTCAATCTTTTTCTGATTCTCTGGCTGTTTTTAATTTTAAAATGAACAGTGATTTAAATTTCTGAAAAAATTGAAATCAAAAGACTTTGGAAAGAAGGTGTGGCTGATAAACTGAAGACATGGTCCCATTCGTATGTTTTTGAAATCACTTTTTTGGATTTTCTTCTCTTCAATGCAAATAAACATGCCATAAAATTGATTTGTTCTGACGCATTTGGAATTTAGAAAAAAAACATGTCATGTGGTTCTATGTTCTTTTTTTTCAGTAACAGACATAAAGTTTGATTGCGCTCAAGTTTTATTTTCCGCTGTTTGAATTTCGATTTCTTTTCAAGATCAATTCAACTTCATTTGCTAAAAGGAAGACAAATTAAGCTCTTCAATAACAAAAATTGGTGATATATTACAATAGGTGGTAGGATCAATTTCAATAGCTGCATCGCTTTTTGTTATACTTCGCACATTACTTAAAAATTAATTTAAAGCCAAATTTTTAGGCAAAAGATGCGTAAAATGTGAAATTATGAATAGCATTTCATTTGACACAGTAATGTATTTAAAAAAACTATCTTAGTCTTAGTACAAGTGATTGAAAGTGAAATGACTATATTATGCATTATAGTTCTCAAATTTAATACATGCACTATACTCAAATTTACCACCTATTGTAATATATCACCCAAAAATTCAAATGGGAGGAAAAATGGTCAAGGCATTTTACTTTGAAAATTGAATAATGATTTTCAGAGTTCCCAACTGAATGAAAAAAGTTATCAGTTTATCCATTTTCTCAAATTGGTTTAGTCTTTTAAAAAAGTCAAATATAAAAGATTCTTGAAATTCCAAAAAGAATTTTATCGTGAAGTATATTTGTTTTCGAAAGTTGAAAAATTTTCAAGTCTTTCGTTTTTTTTCTCGCTTTCTTTGCGTTTATTGGCACATTTTCAATTTTCTGTTGACGATGTCAAACTATTCGCATAATTGTTGAAGCTGTTTATGCTAAGGTGGCGCAGAGAATAACCATGGGAAAGTGAACATCCTTCTGCAGTCATACGTGAACAGAATACCAATGGACAGTTTTTCACTCACAAGTGACCAGCTTTACATATCGACTAATGCCGCTCGAATATGTCGAGCTCTGTTTGAAATAACCCTGAAAAACAATTGGGCAAATGCAACTAGCAGGTTACTTTCTATCAGTAAATGCATTGAACAGAAATTGTGGGAACAACAACATCCGCTAAGGCAACTTCCTGGGAATTTGTTGCGTGAAGAAGTTTTGGTTAAACTGGATAGATCTAAATTGTCACTGGAAAGATTGCTAGAAACTCCTGCCAAGGAGATCTCAGCTTTGTTGAGGTTGAACCCAGCACAAGGTGAACGTTTAAAAGAACTCGCTCGAAGTTTACCGTCTATTAGAACGGAAGCTACAGTTCAGCCCATTACACGATCGGTGCTTAGAGTGAAGGTTCTAATCTACCCGATGTTTACTTGGAATGACAAAGTGTCAGGAGGATCAAGTGAGCCATTTTGGCTGTGGGTTGAGGACCCGGAGACTAATTATATCTACCATTCCGAGTACGTGACGATAGGCAGGAAGAGTGTAGTTAGGAGAGGGGGACAGAGGCCGGACCCTGTGGAGTCTGTGTTTACTATTCCGATTCACGAACCTCTGCCCACTCAGTATCTGCTGCGAATCGAAAGCGATAGGTGACTATGCTTTGTCTCAAGTATTCTCAAATTTCGTGCCCAGAAGTTTAGGTCGTCTAAATCAGTTTACGTTCAATTTTATTTTTCGCAGATTACATCATTTAAATCAACGTGTTGTTAGAACAGTTCTTGGTCATTTATTCAACTGGAATCGTTATTTCGCATACCCAAGCGAAGCGTAGGTTATGTTAATTTGGAGCTCGAGCTTAATAACTGCAGCTTATATGAAAACTGTTTTCCAAATTATATATTTTTGAAGTTCATTTGCTCGGATTGTAGATGGGTTGGCTGTGGTATCCAGACTCCCTTGTCATTCCGACACCTGATCTTACCCGAGCAACACCCACCGCACACGGAACTGTTGGATCTGGAACCCATTCCGAAAAGTGCACTCGGAAACGAGCAGTGGGAAGCTCTGTTCACCTTCTCTCATTTCAATCCAGTCCAGACGCAGATATTCCACACTATGTATTACACAGACTGCAATGTGCTGCTGGGAGCGCCGACGGGGTCTGGAAAGACAATTGCAGCCGAAATTGCGTTCTTCAAAGTATTCAGAGATTACCCGGGTTAGTTTTTCAATAGAATTTAAAGCTATTGACTTTAGCTAGCTTAGTGTTATATACGTATGGTATTATCTCTACGTTGGAGATCGATTGCGGTACTTAAATTTTCAAATCTTATATTGCCTTTTCTTTCCTTATTTCACGTTTTAGTGCCTTTGTAGAGCTACTTTTTGCCGTTTTCTCGCTTGCGTTTGCGAAGTTCAGCTTTGTCTCTTGTTGGATAAAGAAAAAGGGAGCTTAAGAAATTTGTAGAACAATGCTTGATATATATTACAACACGAGGTGGTTCGCGACAAGTATCACGACAAGTATTTCTATTGACCAACTGTTCTGTGTAGGAATGAAAGTAGTCTACATAGCCCCACTGAAGGCGCTGGTGAGAGAGCGAGTGAAAGACTGGAAGGTGCGGATGGAGCAGCGACTGGGAAAACAGGTGGTGGAGTTGACTGGGGATGTGGTGCCTGACTCACAGGCCATCTCTGCTGCTGACATCATTGTGACCACTCCTGAGAAGTGGGACGGAGTCAGTCGGTCCTGGCAGACAAGACAATTCGTCAGATCGGTAAACCATTTCCTATAGAGACGAGTCGAACATATGGCGCTCAATTCGATCATTTGATTGGTGAATAATGAAGACAGATCGTTCGCCAAGATCATCAAGAAATGTTTTTCTGCCGCTGGTATAATATTAGGCTGACTAATGATAAAATATATGCTGCGTTGAGCTTCACAATTTCAAGGCTTTTAGCTCCATTACCCAAATTCTCCGGTACTTTTTAATGAAACATTGTGTTGTGTTTAGGTTGGGTTGATTGTGATAGACGAGATCCATCTTCTTGGGGACGACAGAGGACCAGTTCTAGAAGTCATCGTATCCCGAACTAACTTCATATCCTCACAGACTGACCGGAAGTTAAGAGTAGTGGGGTTGTCCACTGCCTTGGCCAATGCGAGGGACTTGGCAGACTGGCTTGGAATAAAGACGCAAGGGCTGTTCAACTTCAAACCGGCTGTGAGACCGGTTCCGTTACAGATACATATCAGTGGATTCGCAGGCAGACATTACTGTCCTAGAATGGCATCGATGAACAAACCAGCATATCAACAGATTCGAACTCATTCGCCTAACAAACCGGTGCTAATTTTTGTTTCGTCCAGGAGGCAAACTAGACTTACAGCTCTAGATTTGGTAGCATTTTTAGTGTCTGAGAACGCAAAGCAATGGTTGCATTGTGGTCAAGATGAACTTGACGTTTATTTATCCCGCGTCAAAGAAGCGAATTTGAAACTTCTGTTAGCTTTTGGAATTGGAATCCACCACGCGGGTTTGACAGAAAACGACCGCAATATTGTAGAAGAAATGTTCGTAACGCAGAAGATTCAAGTGTTGATAGCGACTGCAACCCTGGCGTGGGGTGTGAATTTTCCAGCTCATTTGGTGATTGTGAAGGGTACTGAGTATTATGATGGAAAGAGTAAGAAGTATCAGTTGATGCCAATCACGGATGTCCTGCAGATGATCGGTCGTGCCGGAAGACCTCAATTTGACACGACGGGAAAAGCTGTAGTATTTGTTCACGACGTTCATGTAAGTTACATGTTCGTTTATTCAGCAATAATAAGTGTCTAGGTCAAGTACAGTTTTAACTTGAATTGAAAATGGTTGCCTTTGAAAGCAAGTAGCGCTTTAGAATAGTTTAAGTTTCAATGAAAGAAGAGTTCTCACTTTGTTTTTAGAAAAACTTCTATAAGAAGTTTCTGTACGAACCATTCCCTGTCGAATCCTCACTTTTGGGAGTTCTCTCCGAACATTTGAATGCAGAAGTGATCGCCGGGACCATCACTTCAAAGCAAGACGCAATCGAATACGTCACGTGGACTTACTTCTTCCGTAGACTCCTGATGAACCCTGGGTTTTATGGCCTTGATGGAACAGAACAAGATCAAGTGAACGTTTTCTTATCGGGACTGATCGAAAAGTCATTGCAAGAACTCTCTCTTAGCCAGTGTGTGCAAATAGCCGATGATGATATGGGCTTAGAGCCTCAAGTTCTGGGAAGAATTGCATCATATTATTACGTCAGTCATTTAACAGTTCGAATGTTCAGCCAGAAAGCAGAGCCGAATGCTAGCATAGCAGATATTATGAAGGTCCTTACTGATGCTACTGAGTACAATGAATTGCCAGTTAGGCATAACGAGGACGCTTTGAATGCAGATTTGGCGAAACTTGTTCCAATAGAGGTCAACCAATATACCTATGATGACCCGCATACTAAAGCGTTGCTGCTGCTTCAAGCGCATTTCACAGGCTGCGCATTGCCTTGTTCGGATTACTTGACGGATACTAAGTCCGTGTTGGACCAGTCCATTCGTATCTTGCAAGCGTTGCTGGATTGTGTAGCTGACCTGGGATGGCTGACGTTTTCGCTGAAGATAACCCAAATCATCCAGATGATAGTACAAGGTAAGTTTGAAGTTTAATTTTGAAAAATTAAGTCGAAAATTTTTTGCTAATACTAGGTTAAAAGTTCTGTTAAAACTGCTTATTATGCATTGAATTTTTGGTGGGGAAAATCAAGGTATCACAAGGGTCGAGTGATTTATCATAAAGACCTTTCATTCGTTATACGAACCTTTTAAATTCCAAATAATTTTTTTTAGTGTTGTGAAAAACCAGTTTGAAATTTTTTATTCTTAGTCTAATTTTGAGCGAATAAAGCATTAAACAGGCTTTTAAAGGGCTCAAATCAGAAGGTTTATTGGTCAAGTTAAACCGTAAGGTTTTAGTGTTACTCCAGAAAATTTTATTTGTCGACCTCTTGGGAATAAAATTTGGAACGTTTTTTCTGAAAAATCTGCAATCTTTTATGATTTTTCTATTCATCATTTGAGGAAAGCTACCATCGAATGTTTTAAAATTTTTTTAATTAAGAGTCATGGACTTAGTGAATACTCTAATATAGGTCTTGGTAATTTTTTCCCCGTTCGAATGGAAACTCCCCAGCAAAAGTCTAGAAAAACTTGATCGACTTCTAGTTTTGAAAGTAGAATTTCATTTTTAGGTTTGCAAGCGGAATAAAAAATTACCTATAATCCAGTTTTCTCAACTTAGGCTACTTTAATCAAAACAGTGTCCATCATACATTGTTATAGAATTTCAAAGAGCTTAAGCCCATATATTCTTGTTTCTTTGCGTTCATGAATCTTTCCCTACTGTCTGTTGGTTATGTTTTACACTTCGTTCAAATCCTCTTATCATACCACGAACAAAAACGACACTTTTTCACAAAAAAAAATATATATATTTTTTATAAATAGTTTTTTTTTGGTCGGAAATTTCCTATTACTTGCACAGCAACTGGCTATCCTTGGTTTTTTTACCCTTGCGAAGCAAAATGTATTAGTTCTAACTTTCTTTTTTTTCCAACCTAAGTGGCAATTAAAAGTGCTACTTTTGGTGACACTTTTGAATCGGAAGGCTGCTTTGACATTTGATTAGTAAAAAGTTAACAAAGCTGATGCATTTTACTTCATCAAATGAACCGAAAAAAGTTGTTTGTTTCAAACAGCAGTACGATAGCAGAGATAAAAAGCTCGATATCAGAAATTTTCCAATTTATTGTATCACGCATTTTTTTTTGAAATGCATAACTTATTCATAATTTAGCTTTATACTTTCCAATTTATTATATGCAAAATTGTGTCTTTTGTATTTGGTGCTTTTTTGCTGCATCGAATTGGCAATTTATATATGTAGCTGCGTTATTGGTGGCTAGTTTTTGGGGATTTTAAACATCCGTGGTTAGTGCATGAGACCCAAGTTTGCAAGTTGCAGGTTCGAATCCGGCACGTAGCCGAGTTTTTGCTAATTCGAGGCTTATTTCTACTTTTTATTATTTCACTTGACAGCTGCTTTTTGGTCTTGTTCTCACAAGTGTTTGCGAAGCGCAGCCTCATCCCTGCTTAAGTCTTAGCTATTTGAAAAAATGGCAAGAACAGTTCAAGGCCTGCTTGTTTGAAATTTTTTTATATTAGACAATGATAGCCTGTTGCTGTGCAATAAGCTTCGATTGTATCGGCCTCAATACTCTAAGAAATCAGAAGTGCGAAATTTGATTTTTAAACATTATTTAAAAAAAAGCAAATGGCGTTTAAATAAGAAGAATGAGAGATAATTGTTGCATAAAAAAGTAAAAATTGCAGTATGGCTGAATTGATTGTCATCAATTATCGTTAATAAGTGAAATTTGGTCTGAAAATTGGATAAGTTCTGACAAATATTTTTTGACACACGTCTTTTTTGGAATCCGAATACGACCGACAGGGCTTTAATATGATACCACACTTCACCCACTGTCAGCTTTTCTTAAGGTACCTAAAATTGGGCGGAAAAACACTAGGTAATAAATAGTTTTTCCCGTCACTGGAGTGATGTGGTTAGAACAATAAAAATGTTTTTGAATAAATGTTGAAATTTTTTTTACATACAGATAATTATTTGATTCATCGCTCGATCTCATTAAACAGGGAATTTGGCTTTAAGGTTTGTGGATTACCCAATCTCCCTTTCTACAACTTCCCAACATGGATGGCTTCATGATCGGCTATCTGGCAAAAGAGTATAGAAGGAATCAAAACAGAAACCAGTCAAACCTTAACTTCGCACGATCTCTTCCTGAATTGATGATGTATTGTCGTGAAAACTACGTCTCTTTGAAAGAGATATTACAACCTCAAATGAAAGAGTACGAACTAGAGCAGTTTTTTAAAGCATTGCAAGTTCTCCCGATTCTAAAAATGAATTTGGCAATTTCTGGTTTTTGGGAGGACGACCCAGGAACCAGAAAACAAAAGCCGGTTATCATAGTCGACCCTGCAAAATCTAATTTGAACAAATCTGATATTTGGATTGACGTACACGCTGACCAAGAGTATTTAGTTGAACTGGATTTGAGGAAGTTAAATAGGTGTCCGAGAAATGCGTATGCGCCTAAGTTCCCGAAGCCAAAACCAGCCGGCTGGTTTTTCATTTTGGGCGATATTGAAAACCAGGAGCTACTGGCGCTGAAAAGACTGACTAGTTTGAGACCCAAACAAGCGATTTCGTTATCGTTTTTCTCTCCGGAAGAAAAAGGAAAATGTATTTATACATTGTACGCTATGAGCGATTCGTATTTGGGACTAGATCAACAATACGCGATACACTTGAACGCGATTGATGCATGTGTTCAAACTCAGCTGGAAATGGAATTAACAGAACTGGCTGATTCCAGTTCCAGTGATAACGAATGAATTACCTTAAAGGCTCTTGAAAATTAATCCAGAAAATTTAAAAAAAAAAAGGAAAAAATGCACAAATTAAAATTGACTGAGTTAAAGTAATTTCAACTAAAATTGTATATTTTTATCAATTGATTATTTATGATAACCACTATCTTTTTTACTGTGATCTCAAAATGATTTTGGCGTAAAATTATGTGGTTGTGAATGTGTTCATTTTCAGACTCTATAGCCTTAATTAAAAGATGGGAACAACTAAACAAACGGCTCGAAAGAGTCAACGAGGAGAGGTACCGACAGCTGGCATGGGCCGACTGATGACTAAACGACAGGTAAGAATTTGTTTTTTTGAAACTGAATTTTCGATTGTCAAGTGCACCGATACCTTCGAGAAGTGGGAAGGAACTATGAGCTAGCATGATTTTAATCCACTTGATCTCATGTTTATTTCGAGTTCAAATATTTCGAGTTCAGTATCATATTAAAGCCCTTTCAGTCGTGATTCGGATTCAAAAATTTTGCTGCATCAGTAGTGAGTTGGTTCTGCTAGCCAACGGGATTTATTTTGGTTCAAGTGCTAATGGGCATCGTAAAAAAATTTTGGTCCTCTCTGTTGGAAGTACTCAAACAGACGTATTTTTAACTTGTTAGAATTTTAAATATCCTTCTTATTCTAAATATGCCTTTTATAAAGAGCAATGAACTTAGTGAAGACTCTTATATAAGTCTATAGTGATTTTTTTTTTCAGGAAAAAGTTTTTTTTTCAGGCTCCGCTTTACTCAAATCTTTTAGGCTCAATTTTGACTTTTCGCGGTTTGACGTTTGATTTGTTTTAAATCAGTTCATTTCCATTGTTTCGTTGCATCGAGCCCCAAATTGTCAAGGTCACGAACACCGTGATCGACATCTGTTTTCGAAAGTAGATTTTGATGTTCAGATTTCCCAGCAGAATAAAAACTTACGTATTGATCCAGTTTTCTAAAATTTTTATTTAAAAGGTTATTTTTATTTTAAAAAAAGTGTCGATAAAAAAGAAGTCATTTTTTCCTTGCGCTCATCAGCTCTTCTCCAGCTGTATGGTGGCCATATTTGTTAGTTGAAAACTGTTTCAGTGTTTTTAATATTTTCTTTTTGTATTTTTCCGCAACAAAAGTTTATTCGGAAGAAAAGGTTTTTGGCTCATCCATTATCGGCATGGTTGCCTCATATTGCTTCATTTGAAGGGTGATAGTACTTTTTCGTTACTGTTTGTGCTGGAAACAATTCAAGTTTCAAATAATTCAAATAAGTTCAAAATAATCGCTTCGTTTTTTAAAGCGTTTCTTTTCTCATGTTAGGAATGTGTGAAGTGCAATTTCATTTAGTCTTCATCTATCAACTATTTTCACTGCAGACAAGACGGAAAATCGGAAAGCTGTAACATTTCTGGATTATCAGCCTGTTTTACGGTTGTATTGCAGATCGCTTTTTTGGCAATCAATTTTTGCCAAGGATATTTAGGATGAAGTTTCTTATTTGAGCGATCTCTTTGATGCACCGTATGTGGGATTCACCCGCTAGTTCATTTTAAATATTTATGCACGCAGTGTAATTTAATCTCCGCTTTACTCAAAACTTTATATGTAAAAGGTCTCAATGATATTTAGGACGAAGTTTCCTATTTGAGCGATCTCTTTGATGCACCGTATGTGGGATTCACCCGCTAGTTCATTTTAAATATTTATGCACGCAGTGTAATTTAATCTCCGCTTTACTCAAAACTTTATATGTAAAAGGTCTCAATGATATTTAGGATGAAGTTTCCTATTTGAGCGATCTCTTTGATGCACCGTATGTGGGATTCACCCGCTAGTTCATCCAATGATATTTAGGATGAAGTTTCCTATTTGATCGATCTCTTTGATGCACCGTATGTGGGATTCACCCGCTAGTTCATTTTAAATATTTATGCACGCAGTGTAATTTAATCTCCGCTTTACTCAAAACTTTATATGTAAAAGGAGCGTTATAAGGCTTTCTGCTAGAATTATCTGGGAAACAGAACGTTCCGAGTATATATTTTTTCCGCACTTTGATCTATGTCCGCTTAAAAGAGCATTCAAATCTTTCAGGCCAAGTTGATTTTTCGCGGTTTGACTTTCGACTTCTTTTTCAGTTCAGTTATTTTTCTTTGTTAAAAGGAAGGCAAACTCCACTATTAAACAGCAAAAATGTAAAGGCTACAAAAAGCGTGATCGAATTCTAGTTTCGTAATTGGATTTTCATTTTTAAATTTACCAGCGGAATAAAAAATTTACCCGATCCAGTTTCCTCAAATTGGGTTAGTTTTATTTAGAGCAATCAACGTAGTGAGTACTCTATATAGGTATGTGATTTTTTTTGCGGTTTTTTTAGGAAAAGTCTTAAAATTTGTGCACGATCATTTTTTATTTTTCGCTGTTTGACTTCTGGTTTTTTCCTATGCTCACTTCATTTCCTTTGTTAAAAAGAAGGCAAACATGTAAAGGTCACGGAAAACGTAATCAAGTTCTAATATCGAAAATGGAATTCAATTATCAGATTTTTCAGCGAAATAAAGTTTTTACCCATTGATCCAGTTTTCTCAATTTGGGTTAATTAATCAAACACCAATCAGCATTCATAGACTGTTCGAAGAAATTCAAAGAAGATGTTAACTTAAATAGCTTTAAGGGCATATGTTTTTTTTCTTTAATATTCAAAAATTGAAGTTTTTTTTTCCAAAAAACTAGTCAGTTTTTTCTGTTTCCTTGTGTTCATTGACTCCTCAAACTTTATGTTGGCTATGTTTATTTTTTTTTTCAAAATTTATATTCTTTAGAGACATATTTTTAAATTTATTTTGCTCTCAAAATTTCGGCCGTTTTTTTTGCCTAATTTTGTCGTTTTTTGTTGGCGGTTGCGAAGTGAAGATTCGCTTCTGCATCTGCCGATGTGAAAATAAGAATATTGTTTGTATCTATAATGACGAAAAAAGGCTGAAGTTGTACTGGAGGTAAAGCTCAAAAAAATTCGAATGTCGACACTTTCTGGATCTAATTGACGCTGTTGAAACATTTGAATGGTTTCGTGCAACTCAATTAATTCGTTGTCGGAATCTCAATTATTGAAGTTAAAATTGATAATAATATTTTCATCGTAAAAACCTTCGGCGTTTTCTCAGTTAGATTTCAATTGGCATCGCATCAGTTGGTAGAAATGATATATATCGTTTGGAATCAGTTTGTTGATAGGTTTGACTGTAAGTTAAATAAAAAGTGATTTATAAAAGGTATCAATTATTTCAGCTGCATTCCATTATCAGTGTTTCTTAGCCACATAACGTAGTTTGTTTAATTTGAATCAATTAACGATTCTCAAAGACCTTGTTTAAAAAAAGTGAAATAGTAAGTAGTTTACATAATTAGTTTAAAAAGTTCACAAATTCTTTGGCAGTCTGATTAAGTTAAAAGTAGTAACCGAATATTATTTTTCTGACAAATAAAAGTATAGAATTAGTCAATATTTGAAATCACTTTAAAGGTTATGGCGAAGAAGTCTCTACCAACAAAGCAGCCAAGATACTCTGCTTCTCAAGTGAGGGCGAACAAGAGGAAGAGGAGGCCGAGGAGGAAGGGAGTTGTGGCCCTGTCTGAGATCAAGCGCTACCAGAAGAGCACGGAGTTGCTCATTAGGAAGCTACCTTTCCAGAGATTGGTCAGAGAAATTGCAATGGATGTGTACGGAAGCGCAGATTTGAGGTAATATTTTTAAGATCGATTTGCTTATAATTCCACCGTCTAGCTATATCGTCATTAGGTTCAAAATAGCTTGTGGCTTTTTGTACGTCGAAGGTTTAACATTTCTCCACGTATGTGACTTCTTAACATCCGATCTCAATGACAAAATTATAGCGAAGTCGATGAACGTAGTGAAGCTTCTTACGTAGGTCCTGACGAGTTTTTATTTTTTAGGAAAAGTTCACGCTCAAATTTGATTTTTTGCGCTACTTCATTTTTTATTTCTTTTTACTTAGAAGACGAAAAATCATGTCGAATCTAGCAATAATCATCAATGTGTTTTCAACTAGTTACAAACAATTTATATCAAAATAGTCAACTCAGAACATGAAATTGGAATGGATTGACGAAAGGCGCATTGCGTGCCTACTTAGGTCTAACCGCTAGTCAAGCAATATTAATTTTAGTTATTAATAGTTAATTAATATTAAAAATTTATTTGAGTCATGAACCTAGAATACTCGTATGTAGGTCTTGAGAATTTTAAGTTTTTTTTTCCGGAATAGTTTGTTCACGTTAAAATTGGATTTTTCGCGGTTTGACTTGATTTGTGAAGATCATTTTCTTTCCTTTGTAAGAAGGAAGGCAAGCTCACCTATATATTAGCAAAAGTTTTAGGTCACGAAAAACGTGATTGACTTCTAGTTTTGAAAATTGGCTTTGTTCTTCAGATTTCCAGCTGAATAAAAAGTTCACTTATTGATCCAGTTTCATTCAAAAATTGTTCCGATCGATTATTCTAAAACTGAAAAATAGGGGTTAAAATTTGCGGTTAGATGAGCACACGTACATTGATAGTCATCTAGCAAGAAAATATGCGCTAAAATGATATTTATTTTTGCATAAAAATTCTTCAGTGTTGTTGATTACACAAGCAAAGCTTGTGTGATATTACGAACTCACTTTTGTTTCCAACTTAAGTCTCGCAAATATTAGTGCTCTTTTTGAAAGTGCTCTTTTATTGCATTATATGCATAAGATCAATAACCAGCGATTAAGTACAGCAAATGCTAAGGATATTAACTCACACCATTGTATTACGAATAGCACTTTAGCTTCAAGGTGTTATAGTTCGGTAGCGTAGAGGTAGGGAATGAGACCAGCAGCAAAAAAGAGTGTTCGAACCTCAGCAGGGTCGCATGTTTTTAATGAACTTTTTCGTATACTAGTTAAAATGCGTCCGCTCTATAAATTGAGGCATGTTAGTTGGTAAATTTCTTTTCAAATTGACTGGTAGTGCTAATGTGTCATAATTGGCTTGCGTCACTTAGCAATTATATAGACTCATAGTTCTCGTGCGTCACTTAAGAAATTTTGTAGACTCAAAGTTTTACTCATTCAGTGTTTCCCAGTAGCGTTGTCGGTCATATTTTTGCTTGTGTATGCGAAGTGCAACTTCGCCTCTGCGTAATTTTTGGAAGTAAACGCGATATCTTGAAAACTACAATGATTTGGAGGTTTATTTGTTTCAGGCTAGATTCGCAACCCTAAAATGACTATCTCCTTAAAAAGTGATTATCTAATGAAATATGTGATGCATCATTTCATTATTTCCGAGTAAAAAATTGCTTTTGAATTTACCGACGAAAACAATTTCTTAATTTACTGCTTTTTTCTGATTTTCTCCGGTAATATTTTTTTAAAAGTATTTTCGCTCTGTTAATCATGAACGATTTTTTGTACAGAATGGTTGAATGAATGTTTTACATATTGAATTTTTTGTTTTTGAAGCAAAACTTTGTATAGAGAAAAAAATTTGAGAAATTTGTGCAAAGTCCTAAATTCAACAATCGAAAACTGATTTTTAACAAATCGTACACGTATACTTCATGCACTGTTGCTATTTTGTTGTTTAAAAAAGTTTATTTTTTTTGTATCTTATTTCCTTTTGAAATGAATCTTGCGAATAATTTTTCACTGCAACTTTAAAATTTTAAAATTTGGTTCAAAAAATTTGTGCCACCATAGAAGAGCAGAGCTAATCTTCATTACGAGGCCAAACTGTGCATTTTGTGCATTGTAAGCGGATTCCGCAACAAGGACGCTCCCTTTGTTCTTCTTTCGTTCTTTACTTTCCTTTGATTGTTCCGACAAAATTTTAACATGTTTAAAGACTTGTCTCCGGAATCCAGGAAATACAGACACAAAATTGTGCGCCTATCCAGTGCACAGTTTGGCCGCGTAATGTTATTGTATACTTGGCTTTATATACGACTGATAGTCTTTGAGCAAGGTTGAAGATGGTACATAGTATCTCATTTTTGAAGTTATATCGTATTGTCGCCTCAATGACATCATGGTACATACAAGAGGGTTCAGCTTTATAATAATAAATTTTGACGCAAAAATTGGAAGCCTTAATTTTTTTCTAAACTTATTTGGTTAGTTTTATCTGAGTGTAGAGTAAACTTATTTAAGAAAAACCAGGTGGAAATATTTGTCGAATCTAATTGAAAGTCATGGGAATTTCAGGAATCACACGATAACTTTGTATCGTCTGCAAAAAAAAACATTTCATTTAGAAACTGCACGATTTCATCAATTTAAGTTGAGCTCATTTATTTTGTTGAAAGGAAGGCAAAATCCATTATCTAGTGTCAAAAGTGTAAAAATCACAAAAGTCGTCATCGGTTTCTTAGTTTGAAATCTATTGAAATTGAAATGGGGGCTTCACGATTTCCCGTGCTTAATTTTTTTGAAATTGAAAAAGCTTTACGGCCATGTAAGTTCGAAAGCCGAAGTTATGCACAGGCCAATTTTTTTTCTATTTCCTTGCATTCATTGACTTTGTTCTAACTGTCTATTGGCTATGTTTTATTTTGGGAAGGTTTCGATAATAGAAAAGAGTCAATATTAATTGAGGATATTTATATCTTGGTGATAAATAAGAAACCATATTTAGATTCCAGACAGGAGCAATCGGAGCGCTTCAAGAGGCAGCAGAGGCATATCTAGTCGGTCTGTTCGAAGACACCAATCTCTGTTCCATACATGCTAAACGAGTCACTATCATGCCACGCGATATGCAACTGGCAAGGAGAATCAGAGGCGACTACTTCACTATGTAGATACGAAAACCGACTCGATTTGAAAGATGGGAACTACATACGATCCGAGTCGTGGCACGATTGATGTTAAACCAGTGTTCGTATTACTAACGCGTGAAATACCAATAAAAAATACAAACTGTTCGGAACATTGCTGACTATATTAAAAAGTATTTAAGATTTGTCTAGTATTCATTGCTGGTGAAAAATTCATTTGAAATTTTGGAAGGCAAAATAAATGTATATTAAACCGTAATAATGAAAACTTAGATTTCAATTTGTTTAGTTTCGTGTTTGTTGGTCATTTTCCTCTTTAATTGATTTTTCCCAATTTCTTCAGTGTTGCTGAAACAAGGGTCGCATTTATTTTGGCTGGGTAGTTGACTATTCTAGCCGGTTTTTCAACTTCATGTTCTAAGTGAAGCTAAATTTGAGCTCTCCAAAAACTAAAATCAATATTGCTCAAAAATTCGCCCTGAACAGTTTTAAAGTAAATTTTATTTTTAGAATTCCCAGCGGATTAGAAACAGAAATATGCTTAATGGTCTTGGTTATTAAGAATAAACGTTGTCTAAGTTTTTCTAAACGAGTTTCCGGAACTATAGCATGAATTTCGTCCTTGTTACTCTTTAGTTCAGTAATGCTTTTTCAACGCTTTCTTGGATTTGTTTGTCACATGTGAATAAATTTATTTGTTATGATCGGTATGAAAAATGCTGCTGTCGCAAATCAATAACCGTGATGATTTCTATTGTTTGAATACTAATCAATTCAGTTTTGTGGATATTGTTTTAAAGAATGGAAACAGGGATAATTTGCCTCGAGATTGCTGGATGATTAAGAACCAATGCACCATTTGGAAGAACACAGGGGCGGATCTAGGATATTCTCGGGGGGGGGGATTTTCGAAAATTTTGACGACCTTTTTTTTAGGTCCACCAAATTGGTACTTTTTAAGAAACCCTTTGGTACTTTTTAAGAAAGCCAACTTTGGCCGACCGACCCTTAAGTTGTTCTAAAGGCGCCTTCGGCGCCAATATATACTAACTTTCAGGGGGAGCGCGCGCCAAAAAAAACGCGATTTTTTTGTCAAAATTTTCCAAAAGTGCACAAAAACGGCTTTTTTGACCTGTTTTTTCAAAAATTTGCCTGCGGTGCAAAAAGTTTGGTCTATCTACGGTTTTTATAGTGCTTTAGGAGAGCTCGGAAAATCAATTTGGTGGACCTAAAAAAAAGGTCGTCAAAATTTTCGAAAATCCCATATGCATTTTTTTTGAAAATCGAAAGTTGAAATTTTTCGAAAAAGCAAGAAGCAAGTGAGTATTTTTTTTTGTATCCTTGCGTCCATTGACTCTGTTGTTTGTTTTAAGCTCTGATGCCCTTGCTAGAGCTTTTTTCGAAATTTGTAAATCATGACAACAGAGTTTGGCTCAGACGTCATATCCAATGTTTTGTGTTTAACATCAGCGAATCGATCATCATTTTTACTTCTATCATTGGAAATTGTAACCTGCTGTTTCATAAAAATTGTATTTTTGTTCTTCAAATGAAATTGGCCGCTTGAATGTTCTAGAGCTTATATGATATCTGTTAATGTGCTCCACATCGCGCTAATAAATTTTGTGTGTGTTTATTCTCTAAAATCTAGTTTAGAAATCTTGTAGGTACTTTTGTTGATGACAATTTTGTTTCTGCCTCGACAAGCGTCCGCCCTGAATTTTTAGCAAATAAATTTTAGCTTTTTTTTGAAAGCTAATTGAATGCTAGCAATGCGTTCCTAGTAGTTTTTTTTTTAAACTGAGCTCTATTTAGGAGTTGATAAAATTTCAGATAGTATTGTACCTTTTTCAAACAACTTTTTCGTTGTGGTTTTTGTCGCCTCACTTAAATCCAGCTAGCTAACCATGCTATTTTTGTTGAATCACAATTGGCGCGAAACTTCTTTATGCCTCTGTAATAAAATTTTTGAAGTATGCGTTGAATTTTTTGATCATTTGTTTTAAGTTGTTTTTACTTCTACTTCAGTCTTACTGCTGCGTGGAATTTTTGATTTGGTTTTTAACACCAAATGGAGGAAATTTTGTTTTTAAATTCTCATTTATTTATTGTCTTTTTAATGTAGTTTTCATTTGTTTTATTTAGTATATAATGTGGCGCAAAACTCTGCTTCGCCTCTGTTTTTTTTGTAAAAAAAATCAAAAATAACTCGACTAAACACGAGAAAGAAGAAATACAATGTTTTCGTACAATTATCATTCTTTGTTGTGGCGCTTTTGTTTGCGTCTGAAAAAAGACAAATTGCAAAATTCAGGGATCAAAACAGCAAATGGATATAAATTTGAATGTGAATATTGATTTTCTCAATTTGATATTACTATATTATTTTAGCCATTTTTATTGTTTTTTTTGGCAGGACATTTTTTTTACTTTTTGGATAATCAAGGGTATTGCATTCGGTTACTAGACTTTTCCTTTTCTGTAAATAATTTTGTTCTCAGGACTCATCGATTCCTGGTGATACTTTGGTTTTCGTATTGTCTCCTGCACCCTTATCTATGAGGTAACGATTACACCTGCAAAGGCAAAGGGCATAGGTTCGAATCTTACCCGGACCTGATTTTTTTCAAACAGTTAAAATTCCGGCTCAAAAAAATTTTTTGTTATATAATTTGTCTGCTTCTATGTTGTCCGCTCAGTTGCAGGATCTAAGAATCATTTGTTTTTTGTGCAAACAAATTTCGCTTAAATATTTTAAAGTGTCTTAGCATTTAAACACTTCGGCCGAATCGAAATTTGTTTTTTACCTTAGTTGTATTTTACCGACTCGAGTTGTTCAAATTTCGTTTTTTTTAAACTTTTTTTTGTGTTTTTTTTTTAAACTAATTCGGTATCGACTTTTTACGTTTGCAATTAGCAAGCTTAATTTAATCAAAATGTAGACTTTTGTGGGTTAAACACTAGTTGAGCGAAATCAGTTGAATCACATTTTACTATTCAGCTGAAATCTTTATCTCATGAAAATTCAAATTTAACTACTGGGCGGGTACTATATAAGTCAGGGTAAATTCCGGGGGACTTGATCTGCTCAAAGATTATCGGCCTTGTTTCCGCATCGTAAGTTTTGTTCAATTGCTAATTTGAATTTCAAATGTCTTGCTTGGCTTGTTTGTCTAGAATTCTTGTTTGATAAAAAACAGTTATATGAAAATGTATGGGATTGCGTTTTTTAAAGCTTGGGAAATTTTTTAGTTTCTTTCGTAAACGCTTTTTACCGGTTTTCAAAAATGGATGCCCATAGAAAGTCCGCCTACACCCTTGTGTGTTTGCATAATCCTGTGGTCTCTTTTTGACTTCTTCGCTTACAGCCTTCGCAAAGTCTGTCTGGGGGGATTTGACCGATGTTTTTTTTTTGTTTTCCCAACCAAAACCCGGAATTTTTGGTTTAAAGAAGATAATGGGTAGTGGAAAACTACCCTGAATTAGCGGCCCTTACACGTTTTTTTTACACAAAAACTTTGTGAAAAACTCCTTTGCTTTCGAGATTACGCCCAAATTTTTCTGACACAAAACACTGGCCCTCAGAAAAGTCAAGGTTTCGTTTTTTTTTCTACCATTTTTTTTGTACTTTGCTTGAGAATAACCATGCCAAACCTGAGTTTTTGGTTTCAATCTGAATGAAAATTTGAGCGAAATTGTTCTGCAATAGCTGCTACACCCAAATTCTTTGACACAAAAAGCTATGGTTCTCGTAAATGTCACATTTTTGATTTATTGACCGTTTTTTGGTCTTTTTTTGCCAAATATCCTGCCAAATCTAATATTATAGGCTATCGATTTAACAGGTTGTTGCTCACGTACCGTTTTAGTGAGCTATGTTCAATGTGCTTAAGAAGTTTTGGCCTTATAACTAATAAAAGTTTTGAAGCTTCGATAGTTTTTTGGAAATAGTTCGACTTTACTCGAAAACTACCGTGCCGATTCACAAGTTGTGCTCAATCGAAAACCCAGTATTTGGATTTCTTCTGCTCAAGCGGCTACAACTTGCTTTCGGCAAGAATTTTCTTAAATTGTACACCTATCAAGTTTAGGTGTCCTTCATTTTGGTTTACCTAGTTTTTTTATTATTGTGTTGTATCGCAGGTATTGCGAAGCTCCGCTTTACCTCTGTTTTATAGTTACTAAGTGGCTACTTATTGCATTGTTTGATGACCGAGAAAAGTTTTGGTGTGCGTGTGTGTTCTGAGAGGAAGGGGACTCAAAATTTTTATTATTAAATTTTTTGAAGGGCTTCTGTTGAGGTTTTTTTTTGCTTTGTTACCGCTTGGTAAGTTTGGTTCCGATGCTAATTTTAAATTCTATTGTCTTGCATTCATCTTGATAGATTGGTTGTATATATAGCTATAAAACAGCGATTAGAATTTGTGGCTAATGATTTTTCGGCTTCAGATTTGGCTTCCAGTTTAGTTTCCGAATTGTACATACCACCTTGATTTCAGCAGCTATATGGTTTTCGTGGATACTTTTTGGGCAGTATAATTGTATGTTCCAATACGATTTTGTCTAACAATTTTGGTTGATTTTCAGCTGATTGGCTGTCAGCTCTCATTCTGTCAGCTTATTCACCTAATTTTTTGTTTCCTACAATTTTCTAATTTGATTTATGAGGTCATTAAGACTATGGCCTCAGTTTTTGGTTTTCTAATGCTCAATTTCAACCCCACTTGGAACTCTGAAAAAAATTTAAATACATTTGAACATGAAAAAAAAGTTATTATTATTTTATTTTTCTAGTTGTTTCTTCTACGGTTACAACTTCCGAAGTCCTCTTTGATAGTTTTTGTGTGTCTTGCTGTTTTAATCCTATGCTTCTTGTAATTCATTTAGTGCGAAGCTCAGCTTCGACTCTATATTCAATCTTCTCATTTAGGATGGAAATCGACAGAAATCTAACAAAAAATCCAAAAGTTGCCATGAGTTTTTTTCATGTTAATAAATGAATAATCTGGTCCGAAGGATATGTCGTAATTGCTCAGGAACTATAAAATGAGAGGCACCTTTTTAAAATATATATTCTCTCACAAAAACACTCAAAAGCTACCAATGTGGGATATGCTGAATCTCGTTTTCCTAATTTTTGTTGCAAAGAAATTACTAACGGTTTGAATTAGTAAAAGATAATTGAAATTGAATTTTTTTTTAAAAAACATAAGTTTTAAAAAAATCAAGTATGCAGCTAATTACGAAAAGCTTCACATGTTTTAAATTTTTTACCGTTTTGATTGTTTATTTGGCAAGTTTTCAAAACATTTCCGAAGTCAAAGCTCTCAATGAATGACATTTTTAACATTACGAGATCAAATTGTGTATTTTGTGTAATGTCAGCAGTTCTTGCAACAAGATTGCCCTTCTTGATTTTTTTTGTTCTTGTGAGTCTTATGTGTTTGTAAAAGTAATTTCTTGAGAATGAAAGTTAGAATTTTTATTTTTTGAAAACATTTGTTACTAAATGAAAGCGTTAAAAAAATCGTTTCTATAGAAGGATACTTTTTTAATGAAGGGTGCAAGTAATTTTTCTATCGAGAGGTGTTTTCCATTTAGTAAAGATCAAGATATGCAATGATATATTTAGCGTACTTTTCGAAACATAAAGCTATGATATATTTCGTTTATTTTTGGTTACATACGCGGGTGCTTTTGCAAAGAACCTCTTTTATTTCGATAAGTAAACGAAATATATCATTGCTTCTGGATGGACTGTTTTGATATTTACTCAAGGAAAAAATACTCCT